GATCCTTTGTTAAGGCATGATATGCAATTTTAATATCATATGAAAAGCCTGTAATTGGCGCTTTTAATGGCGTATGGAGATTCAATCTACCTCAAATGTTCCTGTATGCCCTAATATTCTTTGGAAACCACCCAAACTATGCAATAATTTGTGCAAATGACCAAGTCTACACACGTGTTTCATCCCCTTATAGTCTTAATTTTTTTAAATTAATTTGTTAATTTGTAATAAGATTTCATTCTTTTAACCAATAAATAACTTGAATAATTGCCATATTTGGTCCAAACATATCCCAAAAAACAAATTGTGAAACAGGCTGTAAAGTTTTGAAAAAAATTAAAAATGAGAAAATTTTGAAATATTTTAAAAATATATGCATTTGCATGTTTAGATTTCTCTGGTTATAACTTCTACAGAAGTCATTATAGGGAAACAGAAATGTTATTACACAGAGGGCTTTAAACTAAAAAAAAAAGGAATCTAGCAACTTATAAAAATACACACAATCGTAAAGCATTCCTTTTTTGCAGGAATAGGGGTGATTACATCCCTTTAGAACACTGATTGGAAAATTCTGATCATTGAACGATAACTCTTTTAATATCGCTATATAAGGTTACCACCAAACCTTTTCATAGGGAGAGTACAATAGAATCGATAGCGATTGTAGCGGTGTATTTTCGGATCTTATATACACATACATTCTCCTTTTAATCTAAGATAACCTAAGTCCTTTCGCATGGTTACCATGTTTGCTCGGTGATGACAGAAATACATTTTTCATCAAGCATTGACCATATCTTCCTTCTTCCATCTTGTCTAAGAAATTTCATAGAACTTAGAAGTTAAACAATTGGCCCGTACCCACAAGAGTACGACTGTTAAAAGTCTGGCAATCCTATTTAAGGATTAACGGCATTGCTGATGTAGTGTTTAAAACTGTTAGATATTCGATGTATATAGGTAAAAAATTTAAAAATCTTTAATCGATATTCTGTAATACCAAAGCCAATTTGCTCTTCCTATGTCTGAAATGGACTGCAGTTATTCTAAAAGTTATTTTAATGTAGAATTTCGAAAGATTGTGTAGAGAACGACATTCTGCCAGTATCAAGTTTTAGAAGAAGAGTTTTTTGAGTGCAATAATAGATATTATCTGGTAAATTCAATGTCTATGTATGTAGTACTCACATGTCCATGTAAGATTTAGTATGTGACCTAGGAATATGCGGTTTAGTTCTTATTTCCATGGTTAGCAAGTCTTTTGGGATCAAGTTTAACAGCGTGAATAGAGATTTTCAATGCAAGTACTTAAATCGCCCAATCCTAAGGATGTTTGAGTACTTCCACCACGTCCGAGATCAATACAGTTCTGTTAGTCTCTTTGACAGATGAAGGGTCTACACCATTTCCTTCTACTCTTATACGCTTATTTTATTGGTTCTGATTGTTTCTCGTTATCAAATTTTTTGTAATTAGCTCAATCTTGAGGCCTTTAATGAGCCAAATTTCCATCCGTTGGTGTTATTTCTACCCATATAGCTTTTATACATATAATAAATATCCGAGTTTCTATTCTTTAATTTAGTTCCATAATATTTATATTAGCGCCAATAAGTCATTTGATAAAAAATTAAAAATCATGTTTCAGATAATTGAAACACACACAGCAGTCCGCCCACTCACTTACCTGAAATAAAAATAAGCTAAATATAATTTTAATAGAAAAATGTTTCGCAATCTCTAAAATTATTTATAAACATTCACATGAATGTATATTCTTACGTTTCTTTTATAAAGAATCTACGTTGTTGCGTGAGAAAACAGAAATGTCTGAAACTCTTCCAAAGCATATGCGTCATTAGAGTTCAAAACAAAAGATACAGTTTAGGCATCTACATTTAGATTCATTCCAGTTATATCATTTTCTTTTCATTTAAATATTTTTAGTGTTAATGTACTTACGATTAAATTTAAACAAACACAAACAAAAATTTTGTTTACAAAGCGTTTGTGAAAATTGATTTTTTTCATACAGTAAAGATCATATATTTAGCATATTTTCAATAGTATTTTCTTTGAAATTGTCACTCACGGAACTATTTGAATTTTTCTAAACCAACATTCATTCCAAAACATGGTTTAATAAACACAAACCAATAAAATTTAAAAAAAAAAATTGAAACCAAAGTATAGATCCGGTTTTCGAGAAATCGTTTAAAAAATTTTAAATATCATCATTTTTGGGGTATTTTGTGACGATATAAAAGCGCGAAAAGACGTCCTAATTTATAAGATATTTTATATCTGCTAACTTTAAAATAATGGTTTAAACTCTGTTATATACATATATACATCAATGGACGATATCTCAGCAAATACAAGAGGTTTTTAAACAATTCAAAACGAATTCTAATGGGAAAAATTATGAAATTTTGCGAGTCGATTTTGACAGATGAGATTTTATAAACAAAGGAGTATTCGCGCTATCACGTCTCAATTACGGTAAAAAACGGATTTTTTTCAAATTTTACGACACGATATTTCAAATTAGTATTTTTGAGGTCAGTTTCGGATTTAGCACAGCTAAATCCTTACAAAAAATAATTTGGTCTTTGTATAATGTTATTTCCAAAAATAGAACGACGGCAATTGTGAAATCGTATGCAATTTTAGTTAAACTGAAATATTTGATATATAATCCAATGAAATCATAGTGTTATATACCTATGGAAAGCATATTTAAGTATCTAATACAAGATCGTTTCGAAAAATTAAATATGCAACAATTTCAACTGTTCGGAAATGCATCACAGAAATATAATGCACCAAAAAAATGGCAAAACTCATGATGTGGTACATTTTTATTTACTTCAAGAAAATTTATCATTTACTCTTTTTTCATCAAAATAAAAGTGTATACATAAAAGGAGCATCAGATGCCGTGCAGTGATGCTTTCCCGAACTGAGAAAATTTAAAAATTTGTTAACAATTTTGTAATTGCAAATGAATTAAGATTTGATTACATATGACAACAACAGGGGTTAACATAGGGCATATTCGGAAATGCATCACTGCACTGAATTTGGTACGACGCCTCTCGAGGTTTATCGTCATTGTCAGAGTGAATCTACCATCGTAATGCATAATACACACAATCGTAAAACAATCAAGAAGACTCCTCAGTATGAATAAGCACGATGTTGCTATAATGGTACGAAGATGGCAATTTCACTGCCAGGCTTTCGTCGAAATTAGATCCAAATACCTTTGCTTTCATAAATCGCTATACATATAGTTTTTCCCACCAACATACTCCATAAAATGGTGCGTCCTAACAGGCCCTAAATGCTTTTAATGGCATTGAAACCGTCTTTCACAGACATTTCATATCACTTTGCACTTCGTTAATTTAGTGACGCTCCATCAGGTTCCGTTTTTTTGTTGGGTTACATTTTTCGGTCGTTGCGTTACTGTGTAACCTTGCGGGAATATAATCAAAAAGCAGAAAATGAGCGTTTATTTCGTTATGATTCCGATCGTTTTTGTTTCGGCTTCTCCAAATTTCCACAATTAATAATCAAGTATTTGCCTCTACTATCAGGATCGTATTTGTATTAAATATAAAATTGACACCTTATTAAGATTTTCTACTACAATAATAAAATCCAAGGTTTTTTTAAAAAATAAAGCCTATTTTTAGGCTTAAACAGAAAAATTTTAATCACAAGTACAATTCCTATTAATTTTATATGAAAACCTAATACAATTCTACAAATTAAAGCCACATATTGAAATTAGAAACCAATGAAGTATTCATTCGTGAATGCAGTTGCAACAGTGGTGCACAAAGCAACGAAAAGCAAACTATTGCAACTGAAATTATGAACACACCCAAATACTCCCTAAATTTCCTCCTATCATTAAACTGATGATCATACCAGTCGCGTAAAACGCGATTTTGTTCTTACTCCTTAGAAAGATAATTTCAAGATTACTTCAATTGCTTGAATCGTTAAACAAAGTATGAATGCAATAGTTCATTTTAGAAAAAAATAAAAAAAAGAGTCATTCACCCCTATTCTGCATTTCAATTCGAATCGAAATTTTCTCCGTTTGGCAACTTTGGTATTCTGCATTTCGATTCGAAGCTCCGTCACTAAAATAACAACTTACAAAAGCATAGAATATATACAATCGTAAAGCATTGAAATAAAATGGAATTGTTTTTTTCTTTTTCTTACGATTGTTTTTTGTTGGAATACCAATTTTCGATCGTAGCGTAACTGAATGCGGAAACGTAATTCAATCGATTTCCACCACGTGTTCCCGTTATTCGTTTTCGCACCAGTTAATTCTATTAGAAAGTAATAAACAAAATAAATGCTATCGTTAAAACGATATATTTATGTAGAATTGTATAGATTTCTATTTACGAAGAGACACAACACCAAACATCCAATATCGCTTTAATAACGATTCGATATTCTGAAGAAAGCAAATAGATTAAAAATTAAAGGAGGAGGATTCACTTTTATTTTATACGTTTATTTGTTTGAAAATTATTTAAAATTAAAATATATTTTTCTTATTTAGATTACACCTAAAACAAGTGAACATCATAAATATACAGAGATGAAGAAGAACTACGATGACGTAAAAAATATAAAGTTTAATTTTATCAAGGAGAAAATTAAAAAATATATAATGCAGGTCTATGTAAATCTATAAATACGTCGAATTTTGGAGGGTTGGAGCGGGCTCGCAGAGTAGTTTAAATTATTGTTTAAAAAGGTTTGAAAAAAACGAAAAATTGCTGAAATTTATATTCTTTTATTAGAATATAAAAAGCTTTTGTGATACACACAATATAAAAGTATTCATTTCTTTTTTCCCTGATACTACAAAGATTGATTGATTGATCTATTGTTAAAAACGAAGTTGATTTGTTGTAGTAATTTTTATTAGTCCTTCTAAGTTCTTCTTGCTGTTGCTAAAAGTAAGAAAAATAGATAGGTATTTTGTTGTCATTTAACAAAGAAAAGGAGGAGGAGGAGGAGCGAGAGCATAACGAATAAATATTAGCAGGTTCTTCTTCTCAGCTCGGTTTTAAGGATTTTGTGAAATTGATTTGTAGGAGGAGTTAGTTGGGTGGTGGTGGTGGTCGGGCAATAATTGAATATTTAAGTTTCTGTTTTTACTGCGTTTTTTATTTTTGTTTGTTGTTTTGTTGTAAATTAAACTGAATAAATGGATTTTATATTTATTATTATTATTAAATATTAAATTTTTCATTTTTTCTTTCACATCATCATGCTTTTTTGTTTTTGTTTCTTTTTTTTCGTGTATGAGTGTGTGTTGTGTGTGTAGGTATTTGTATTTATATATATTTTTTTAATTTTTTTGTTTTTTATTTTATTTAAAGAGCGTTACAATCTGTAATTTTTTGTTTTTTTTTTTTCAAATGTTTGTTGCTAATTTAAGTTGTTGTTGTTGTTGTAGTAGTAGCAAAATCCTTTTTTATTTTTTTAGTTTTTGTTTAATTTTGTATGTATTTTTTTATTAATTATTATTTTTTATCTTCATACCATCATCATTCTCATCTCATCCTATACTTTTCTTTCTCATTCCTTTTTGTTTATCATTATTATTATTATTTGTATATTTCTTATTTTTTCATTCTTTACAAAACAATTGGTTGTAGTTCATCATTCAATCATCAATTTAATCAAATATCATTATTATTATTATAATTATTATTATTAATCTTTTTTGTTTTAAATCATTCAATACACATCATTTTTTTAGTTATGGATGATATTGTTGTTGTAGTTGTTGCTGTTGTTGTTTTTGCTGCTGCGGTTGTTGATGCTGCGGCTGCTGTTGTTGTTGATGTTGCAGTATTTGATCTTGTCGCCGTTGTGGTTGCAGTTGTTGATATTTTCGGTGTTGTTGTCGTTTTGAAAATAGTTGTCGATGTTGTAACTATTTTTTGACGACACAAACAACAACGATGGCAACAACAACTTTAAAAACAAATATGACGATGACATCATCATAATTATCTTCATGTTGTTGTTGTTGAAGTAGTAACATTCGATTGTCATTATTATGAAAGATAATAACAACAATAAAATGAACAATAATAATGTTGCTGCTGTTGACAACTTGAATGGCGACGACAACGGCGTTATAAATGACGACGACGACGACATTAATGATGATGTTGGTGATGATGACGATGATGATGAAGATGACGACAACAACAACAACAACGACGACATCGACGACGACGACGAATCAATTATACAAACTGGAACGCATCACATAGCATACTTCCTAGTCCATTCTCGTGCCAATTCATTATATTTTTCCCGATCAGTTTTATATATTCTTGCAATCTCTGGTACAAGTGGATCATCTGGATTTGGATCACAGAGTAGAGAGCAAATTGATAATAAAACTGTAAAATAGTAAAATAATTAGAATATTTGTTCATAGTTTTTAAGAGAATATTTGAAATTTACCTTTTGATATAGTAAGTGCTGGCGACCATTGAGATCTTAATATATCGAGACAAATCGATCCATTGCTGTTTATATTTGGATGGTATATGCGCGTTGTAAAAGCCACTTTAGGTGGTTTGAATGGATAATCTGTTGGAAAGTGAATTGTTAAGAAGAATACACCACCTTGGTACGGGCTGTCAGGCTATAAATGGAGAGAAAATATAAATATATAAATAAAAATATTATAAATGTTATTTTAATAATACAGGAATGACTTGAAACAAAGACATTAAATAAAGTTTAAGTCGTCACTTCTTCACAAATCGAATTGGGAACATTCAAAAGTCACTTTGTTTAATGAATTCATATTTGCGAATTGATTATATTTGCAAATGTTTATATTTATATTCTTACCGGTCCCATTATTGTTGCTTGCCAGTGAAATACTGAAATGAAAAAAGAAAAATAATATAAAATTAATATTTTAATGAAAAGTATGTAAAAGCAATAATAATAATTAGTAGTGATTAAATAAATATAGAAAATCTTTTTGATTTTAGAAAATAATAGTCATAAAATTGCCATACTAAGCGTTAACAATTAAAAATCAATCAGTTAATCGAAAAAGTTTGAAGTTCTCCAATTTTAAAATCTACAAAGTGTGCCATATCCCATTTTACATTTGAGTCACTGTATATTGAAATTGTTGTGCCATTAGTTGCAATATTTCTTAAGATTATAGATTACGAACAAACATTATTTTTCTCATTATAATTATAGAAAACAATTTAATGATTTTTATTAATTTAAGATTTCATTGGAAACGCATCATTTATTAATGTTATTTATAATCCATAGAAACTGCAAAATACAACAGCTCCTTTAAAAACGAGATAACGAATTCATTGATATTCTTATCTATGTTTTTTTTTTTATATGTTTGCTAATTTTTTCTGAAAATTTAATAATTTCTTAATATAATATTGAACTTCAGAATGGCAAACACTGTTTCAAAACTTAAACATTAGGCTATGTTGAAAGTTTCTTTAATCATTTTTTAATAAAACAGTGACTAACGATGACTATGATAGGGATTTTAAGAGATAGTTATTAAATTTAAACTTTTACAGACAAATGGAACAATACTTTATTGGACTTCTGCAGGTTATGCAAAGATATTGAGGAACTAGCACTCAAAATATATTTAAAAATCTAGTCGCTTTTATACAAATTTTGAAAATAATATTTCAGTCCGAGATACTGTACTATACGGGAGAAGCAAATAATTTGCTATTGTCCTAAGTAGAATACAGTGTCAGGAACTTATCAGGCATTATATAGGTTCCATGATGAAGTGGGGTGTATAACTGAGAGCAACGCAAGTAGTCTGCAGGGTTTTGTCAGGGGAATAAGACTTGTTTTAGATTGTCGCCAAGATCCTGAGATCCTCTCATATGTCTACTACTTCAAGAATATTGTGAACTAGACCCGTAAACTCAACGACATCAGTATTAGATTGGCCCATAAGCTAGTCAATATAGAAGTCAAGACATGTCCACAAACTAGTCAATAGACTAATGAACTAGTCTATGGACAAAACAGATGTAGTACATTTGCTGAAATATCTATTGCAATTCTAATTACTTGTATATACAATAAGGTTGTCAAATAAAAACTCTATTATAAAAATCAATAAAATTAATTTGTTATAAATTCAATTAGTAAACTTACTAATTGTACTAAAAGTACTCCTCTTTCTGAAAGTTCTTTAGAAAAAAACAGTAGTCAGGTAATTTACAATATTGACCTTTGTTTTACTAAATAAAAATTTCAATAATAATTATTGGAGTTTCTAAGTGCCAGAATTAAAAAAGCCTTGAATTTTTTTTTATTTATTCACATAACAGTAAGTTTGTTATATGGAAAACAGAAACACAGTCATTATTATTACTACTCCACCTAAAATACCCACACATTTTTGTTAGCTTCTGTTTAGTATTGTATATGTATATTGTATACAATTATTATTTTTTGTTAGTTGGTGTAATTTTCAAACTGAGTATGTGCAATTGGAGTCATATTATTTTCGTGTACACGAAGAATACAATGTAAATTAAAAATTCTCTTTTTTTACTTTGTCGCATAATTTTAAACATTGGCTCACTCTCTCCTTGCATTTTCTTGAAATTTTTAAAATGTTATTCTTTAAACAGCTTAATAGTTTGCAATTATCAAACTAATTTGCCCATTTCATAATTGTTATGTTTGCTAAAAAGATAAGGTTTTTATCAAATCTTATCATTATAGTTCATTTTTTTGTTTTATATTTCATTTATTCGTTCTTTTTCTAAACAGCAGATAATTTAAATAAAGCTTTTGTTAATTATAGGGAAAATCCCCCAAAGTTTTGCATAAAATTAAAAATAATCTGTTTTTTTTTAATATTTTAATTTATTCAAATGAAGAAGTGCGTAGATGATAATAATTTTAGCATTTAAGTACTTTTCTTGTTGTAATATTATTCAGGGTTTCAAAATCAAAGAAAAGTTGTGACTTTCCTCTCCCAACTAAAGTTTCACTTAAGCTGAAGCAGTGCAGATTGTCCACCACCTGGGAATATTATATTCCCCGCGGACCATAAATCTGGATAAAACAACCAAGGAAAATAAAACAAAAAAGATAAAAATTAAGGTGCAGGGCCTAAACAACCCAGTACTGTCGGCAAGTGTTGATCTACTCGCGCATCACGTGTCATCCTGCAATCTTAAACAAAAGACTACTAAGGAGGTGGGAATCTTGGCCTCCGTGGCGGACAATGCGCCAAGTGTACAGCATGCCATTGGCACAAACATAGGCGTAAAAGGATGTACTCGAAGAGAGCTCTAACCTAACTCAGCCTTTAAATATAGGTGAGGACTCCGACTCAGAATCCTCAGATGATAATAACAACACCAGACCTGGTCAACAATTAAATAGTGGACCACGCAATCGCTTCAAAGGGCAAACAACCAATAGAAAGCGTGAGCTGCGAGATCAGAATGGGCATGATGTTGATGAGGTTGGCATCTCACTAATGTGTTAGCACCCTAAAGAACTTGGTGGAAAGTATCCCTCCTCCCTAGTATGGCGCTAAAACCTGGGACTGACATAGAAGACCGAGCTTCCGGTGCTCTTAAAGTCCACTGTCTATATAAAAAAAACTGTCTAATGAACGTATATTGGAAATTCTTGGTGGTCACTATAGAATAGGCTATATAGAATAGGCTATAATTTGGACCATAGAATATACCTGGACTACAGAATAGGCTATAGTCTACACAATAAGTCGACTATAAACTAGACTACAGAATAGACTATAGTCTGAAAAATAGAATAGGATATAGACTGGATATTGATGGATTGTAGAATAGAATAAAGTCTGGACTATAGCCTAATACATTAATAGCCTCTAGTTTGAATTACAGCATGGACTATAGTCTGGAATATAGACTGGACAGTAGCATATACCATAGTCCGAAATAGATTAGACTATAGACTGCAGTATAGAATAAACTATAGTTTGTAATAGCCCAAATACAAAATTTTACACAAAAGCATATTAATTTACTATTTAGATTATTTGATTTAATAAATAAACAAAAATACTTACAATCATCGCCAACTGGACCAGCTGAACATTGTGCAGGTGGATCTCTGCCCAAATCTTGTAATTCCTACAAAGAAAAAATAAACAAGAAACATTAGTAAAATAATTTCAACACATATTGAAAGAACAAAAGAAAAGAAAGCGAGATATTGTAATGCAAAATTATAAAAAATCAATCACGTATTCGGCCCCAGTTCTTTAATTTCTTCGTTATTATCAACCTTGCAGCTAGTTCTGAAGAAGCTTTAATGAACAAATACAACTTCTTATAAACGCTAATTTTTCAGCGATTTTTATTTCCAATTATAAACATTCCCAATCTCGTTGTATGTATATCTGTCGAAAAATTTGTGATACTTGTTGATATTTGAATTCATTTAAACCTCCACTATGTTCTAATAAAATACAAAACTAGTAGATGAACGTGTTATTTCATAATTTTTAATAATCTCGTTAGAAACGTTGTTCAGGTTCCTAAGAAGTCTTTTGTATGTAATTATAAGTAAATGAATATCTCAATATTATATTTCATTAAAAATTATTTAATTTTTAATTTTTATAAGGTTTTCCTTTATATTTTTTCAACAGTTTCCAAGAATTTATTTCTATTGAACTATTATAGTGAACTTGTGCCAAAACCTTTTTAGAACTTAAGAAACCAAATAGATCTATTATTTGTAAACATTTTCTTCCAATTAGCTACCAAAACCTTTTGCTAAGCTTTAAATATATTTCTGTTTAAATTAAAATAAATTCCTTCTCTAGTATTTTACTAATATTAAATATTTAGTTATTTTTTACACAGAATTCACCAAAAACTCTCTGTTAAAATTTTAGGAATTCAAGCATAGTGTAAAAAACCAGAAAAACGTCCAAAACAAACAAATAAAACTAAACACACGCAAAACACACTTCATTGAAACACATTGTGTTACTTTATGCAAAAAAAAATTTAATACAATAAACATGTAAAATATATAATTTTTTATGTGTATAAAATAAAAGTTCATTGGCCCTGTAATGGAAATATTTGTTTGCTTCTTTGGTGTTTTAAATTTTGGCAAAGAGACGAAATAAATATTTTGAAACCTTAAACAAAGTAGATAACAATAACAAATAATAAAACTCTAAACTAGAGAACTTTAAAATAATTTAATTAAACTTTTAAAATTCTAACAACAAAAAGTAAATAAATTTTAAAATGTTAATTTTATCTAATTTTGTAGTTGAAATTTTAATGCACTTAACGTTTAAAACTATGACGACATTTTCAAATGTAATGCCGTCTGAAATAGCTTTTTTTTATAATTTTTTTGTTAAAAATATACATTTTTTTAGAAAAAAAATAAGAAGAAATCTAAAATAAATAGAAAAGTTTATGGGGAACGTAAAAGAATGTTTGCATAAAAGTAATATCAGGAAGAAGCAAAAATAAACGAAACGAAACGACAGACATTAGCAGCCACCACTCACTCACTCACTCACTCACTCAACTCTCACAATCATATTTCTTAATTCGTCCATCGAAATGATCAAGAACAACAAACGGCCTACGTTGACAAAACGTCAGAGAAAATAAGAAGAAAAAAAACATAACATGATGTTGTTGTTTATTTTGTACATGTGTATAATTTTAAAAATACAAAAACAACACAAAATACGACAAATTTTAAAAATAAATTTTCTTTAAAAGCCACCAACAAGCAAAATATATATCGCAAATGATTGAGGAGTGTGTGTGTATAATATAATTTTGAAAAAGTAAAAAAATAATTAAATTATAGAATTTACCAGAGACAAAAAAAATCAGGAAAAAGAAAATTGATTTAATAAATATAAACACGTTTATGACACCAATTCGTTAATTCATGAAATAAAATGTTTTCAATAATGGTAAAAAGGGTTAACGAACCGATCTTCATTGGGTATGAAAGAAAAAAATAAAATTAAAAAATATTAAATTGTTATATAAAATGTTTAAATAACATATTTGAAAAATATATATTCTTAGGAGAAATACAGTTTTTCAAATCTTAATAACAGAGCATTTCAATAGTGTATATGTACATATTCAAAACATAAATAGGTTTATGTAAAACCCACTTGAATCTAATAAAATATATCAAAAGCAATGTCTTCTAAACGACGTTTATAGCTATCTATAAAGCTACGGAACTGATACGGTAACATCGTTGTCGGGTCTGTAATCCAATTTAGTATCGATAGGCTGGCTGCACTTAGAACCTGAGCCTTAATTACATTATTTTGAGATCTAAACACACCGGGTAACTTAGTCTTCATTCTTGTTAAACACATCACTCTTCTTGTCTACCCTACTATTTAATTTGTCCCTCTTTTTACCTTGATGAAGGGAACAATAAACTACAGCGATCTACGAGTGAAATTGTGCCTTTTGGAGCATAATTTTAAGAATCTAACGTAATTTTCCATCCCTGTTTCAGATTATTCTAATGGGTCGATTATATATGGCAACCCGTGCGTTGCCAGCTTCAAAATAAGACAATGTTTTCAGTCTAGAAATAGCTCAAGTCAATCAAAAACTCATTGGACGAATATTATTAATGATTAAAAATTCATTATTTATAAAATTTCCAAGTTATTGCTTAAAAAAAGTCCAGTAACCACATCAATTTGGCAACTGGCAACTGAGATACATAATTGACCCACAAAGCTTTAGAAAATTTTCGAGTGTATTTGGATAATACAAAATTACTCCCAAGAAGAGTATAGAAATCATATTTAAATGATTATAAAACTACAATTTCATTCTGGTCATCCAAATATAAAGACAAAAAAGGTGTCTGCAACAACCTTGTAAATCTGAGTCATGCCTACACTTTCAATAAAGGTTTTATATTACAATTAATCATGTTATAAAATATTAACATACACAATTTCTGATATTTTAAACAAAGGCTCCGTTAAGAAATTTAACAAAAAAATATTGTTAAATTTTAATAAAAACTAAATATGTATGTTATTTACTGTCCTATATTTCCCAAAAGGTCATTGTAAAAGCTGATATTTTAACTAACTAACTGCAGAGAATTAAAAACTGAAATGAACTTAAAATCAATAAAGAACACTCAATCTATTATAAAAAATTAAAAAAAAATGGTTAATATAAATTGCAAAATGTGAATGAAAACCCAAACACAATAAGTGTGTGCGGTTTTTTTTAAATAATAAAAATTGATAAAAAACCAAACAACAAAACAATGCCCAATAAAGCTGTAATAAATATTTTTGTTTAAATAAAAACAGACACTAAGTATAAAAAACTAAAACAAAATGAGATGAAGGAAAAAACTATGAGTCATTGAATAAAAAGAAAACAATAACATAAATAATTACCTCTACAAGTAACTAATAAAAACAATATCTATCTACATTTGCTACAACTCCCCTCCGCACTTTTTTATCAATCCCTTATTATTTCTATTGTTTTTGTTTGTTAATCAGCATTTTATTTATTTTTGTTATTTGAGCCATCTTATGTTTAAGTCTTAAATATAAACCGCATTAATATGCAAAGAAAATCGTGGTTAAAATTATTGTTTCTGTGTTTCGTTTGTCTTTTCGAAATAACAAATGTTATAACTTGACTTTTTAGCCAACTGTATAAATGTGATCATTAAATAGAAAAAAATATAGGTATAAAAGAATAAACGAGAAGTTTAAATTGTTTCGAGTGTCTGTATTTATGTCGGTCTTTCTACTTATGATGAAATTATTTAGTTTTAGGTCTCTAACAAAAGAAACCGTTAAAAGATTATTTGTTTTTTTTTTTTAACAATTTCCAAATTTCAAGTTTATAACAGTGGAAAAAAAGGTTAAAGTTTTTAAACAGTTTAGGTGATAGTAATTGTTAATGTAAACATTATTAAGAAAAGTTATGACTTAACGAGTTCCGTAAAAACTGCAAAAAATGTTTTAAGACTTAGTAGTAGAATGTGCAAAATACACTTTAGAGACTCATGAACCATTACTGTTTTATTAAAAAAGAAATATATTTGAAATATATTTTAATTTTTAGATAAAAAACAGCAAAAAGTCAAGATTTAAATATCAAATTACAAAAGAGATTAGAATATCTGGTTCACATTGCATTTATCAACTAAATAAGATGTTGATTCCCTTGAATAAACAGAACATATGTATGTATGTATGTATTCCTCAAGGTCATAATTTCTTGTCTTAAAGTCTGAGAATTTGTAATCTATTTCTAGTGTCAGATAATTGTCTCTAACATACCAAAAATCTGATAAATCATTGCTATTTCATTTGCTGGTCAGAGCTCAAGTTATCAGCATTATCACATTAATAGTATTCTAGAAAATCTTAAATCAAGCTTTGACCGTAAGGATTGGTTAGTACCTTTCATATCACATCACTTAAGATATTTGTTAAATTATTTTTAAATAGATAGGTATTTAAGCAAATAGAATACAATTTAGAAAATAAAATAAAAATTTTGTTTAAGAAAATACTAACGATCATGAGAAGAAAAATGTTCAAGAGCAATTATTAATCATATAAATTTGACAGTTTATAAACTTTGATTTCAAACTTCCGGATTTAAAAACATGCATTTCCTGTAAATACATATAAAATGAGAAAATAAATCTATAAATCCAATAAATCTCATTTAAAATTAAATACTTCAATAAAACTTTATCAGCTGACATTTTTATCGTAATTATTAATAAGTAAGATTTAAAATTAAAATCATCAATGTTTGAAAAATGTTTCTATACTTCGAACAGGTTTGGAGAAAATCCAAAAAAAAAAAGAACCATGAAAAAGAAAGAAAAAATCAATTTACAAATGTTATGTTTTTGCATTGTTTAAAATACAGCCCTGTTTAAAATCTACAAAAAAGCAGCAACAAAATGCAGAAAAGTAACGACGTAACGTCTACGTATACAAAATAAAAAACATTACGACGACAACGTCAATAAATAATTACGAAAGAAAAGGATGACTATAAATAAAAATATGCATAATTTTAAATTAATTGTATAATGGAATTGAAATTTTTAAATTAATTTATTTTATTGTTTTATTTATCAATGAATTAAATCAAAATTTAAACATTTTTTATTACGGATTTAAGCCGGCTTTACTAAAATAAACAAGGGCGTAAAAATCTGCAGCAGAAGCACAGAGTGTATTATGTTTATTATCGTCTGCCACTTTTGTGCTTTCGCATACGTGTTTGTGTGTGCAGATGTCTGTTGAAGAATGAGACAACAATATAACGGCATTTCTATAAAGGAGAGCTTTAAAAGCATTTGATGAAAAGAAATGGAAAGTTGGTGTTGTTAAGTGATAAAAAAGAAATCAAAGAAAAAAAAAAGTTGCAAAGAAAATAAAGAAAACGTTGACGTCGCTGTTTTTAATATTTTTTTCTTTCTGTTGATTTGCTTTTATGCCATTTGCTATTACTATTACTCTTTACTACTTTGAGCACCACACAACGTATAATTATTAATTAGTCATGTCAACTAAATATAAAATTTAAATCACCACGTTATAAACACGATTGTTTAAAGAATTTTCCAATTACCTCAAAAATTATCGGTAAATTTTGTTATTTACCCCCCTTTTCACCACCTCCAGTTAAAATTAAAAAATAAGTAGACATTGTAAAAATGGGCACTTTAGTAAACTGTCTGCAGATGGCCATTCTCAATAAAATAGTTCCACGTTTACGTTGAGACCAAAAACTTTAAACCCAAACTGAACTAGTAGGATTTGCCACTCTAGGAACTAGTTCTAGGGTAGTCATGCTACACCATCTTAGCAGCAGTCTTTATTATTGAAAAAAAACTTTAGAAACTATTTCCAATTATATTCAGGTATCTAGACAGGGCACAGGGGATTTCTCCTCTAGGTGTATCAACACCGGCTTCGTTAAAATTGCATTTTATGCATATCAAAACTTTTCTGATCACATACCGTTTTATATGTAAAAACAACAATTTTGAAGTCTCATATCTCGATTTAAATTAGAACTACATATCTATCAAGCATCGAAAACAATTTTTAAACACAAGGTGGATTAGGTTTATAAGTTTATAACTAAAATAGAAACGATTCTAAATAAAGATACCAGTATGCAGTTCTTTTTTAGTAACATGCGTTTTGTTGCAACAAAAACAAATCCAGGCCAATTTAGAATTATTCCCCGGGAGTTTGCCCTTTTGCATGCCTTAGATATAGGAGAGGTAATAAACTCCCGGGAAATAATCATTCAAAATTGGGCGGAATTTGTTTTTCTTGTCGCACATTACTTAAACATTATTTTTTCCGCTCAATTCAAATAATTTCTATATAAACTTAAATAACCGGCAAATTTATATTATCTAACTAATAACAAACTTAAAGATACAATTTTGACTATTGCTAAAATGTATTATGTATTCAAACTGTTAAACTTATTAGATGCAATTGGAAAAGCATTAAGAGGTAAAAATATTTTAGTATGTATATATACTAATAACCACTATTCATAAAGCATAAACAACCACTTTTACCTTTTAACAAAAAATGTAAACAATATGATGAATAAATAATAAATAAACCCGAAATTTAGAAAATAACTGAATATATATTATGGGCGATTTTTATCACTAAACCAAACGACAAGTTGACAACACCAGCAACACTTTATTCTAGAAGGTTTTATTGTTGTTGTTTCTTTGAGGGGAGAAAACAAAGTTTTTTTGGAGAAAATTAAGGGATTATTTGATAATTTTTAATGTTAAATTTAATTGCAATCTCCCCCCACATATAAATTAAATAATAATTATTTAAATTATTCAATTTTATGTACATACATATGTAATAAATTTAAGGTTAGGTTGCTTTGTACGACAATGTTTTTGTTTCTTTTTTCTCATTTACTGCTGGAGTATTTTTATATTTTTGGTTTTGTTGTTTTTTTTTCTTTTTTGATAGCAACAGCACTTGGTTGTTTCTTTTATTTTGAGGTGAAAAGCAAGGAAAGAAAAATTTGTTGGACAGACAGAGGAGGGATAGAAAGCAATTACAAAAAAAGACCTATGATATGTATAATTGCTGTGTATACCATTGAAACCATTGGGTAACACCTCGATGAAATTCTTCTTGATACTTTATTTAAGGAATTCTCTATTAATTACAGAAGAAACTAAAACTAAACCGGCTGGAGCAGTTTTTAAAGGAATTTCCTTATATGTAGCGTTTAGATATGGCAAATTATTGGAAAAAACAATATTTAATTTGTGATTACATCCACATGTCTTTTACGAAACAATAAGAACAAATACCGGGAATGATATACATTTCCCTGTCTTGTCCCCACCACTTTAAGAAATTTTATAATTGATATATCCACCAGAATTCTATTTAATCTTCATTTGAACTGCAAAAACTTTTAGTCTGATCATCATTATGATGTGTCTCTACTCTTGGTGTCTGGCCGTCTTTTGTGGTCGGTCTTTAGCCAACACGCATTGAAATCTTTTGAAATTCCATTAATTCTTTTTTTATTTGACTAAAATTTAAAGCAAAAATAGAAAAAAACTTTTAGAGGAAAAAGAAAAAAATAAACTTCGTATGCCGTGTTTGTATGTGTGTAGCTGGTGTCTCATCGGTTGGGTTCTCTTCGTTGGTCGCCCATCTTTTTTTATTCGATCAATTTTTCCCCGTCATTTTTTATTCGTTTCATTTTTTTCACTTTCCGAGACGACGTTTCACATTTCTTGCATAAATTTTTTGGTATTTTCTTTATTTTTTTGATTAAACAAAAGCAAAATTTTCAAATTTAACACATTTCTCTTGAACTTTTTATTTTTTCTTTTTTTTGCATTTTATCAATATCTCGCATTTTTCAAGGGCTTTCCCTTGGTGTCTTTTCAGTTTTTTTCATTCGATTTTATTTTTTTGCAAATACTATACCTTATTAATTCTTTTTAACGCCATTTTATAGTTAAAATTTGATTTACAAATTCAATGTTGTTTGATGTATGTTTAATATTTCTTTTTTTAAACTTTTTTGTTCAATTTTTCTTTTTTTTAATTCCACTGATGGGGTCTGTATGTGTGAAGCCAGCCGCCGCTCCTCACTAAAAAAACTTTTTTCAGTGTGTGTTAGCACAAAGAGCTCGCCAACCAAACAATAGTAATCGTGTGTGTAGACGAAGAATCAAGAAAATTAAAAAAAAACTCTAATTTTATTTTAATCAATTCAACTTCAATCAATTGTGGGAAAAATAAAAAATTAAAACTGAAGAAATTGAAATTCCTTTTTTTCTTGAACTAAATTATATAGATTTGGCAAAATGAATTCGTTGTTATTACGACGAATTCACAATTCTTTGCACCACAAATCGCACTTGATTTTGACGACTGCCGTGTTTCCACAACGAACGTACAAAAAGATTCGGTCGGCAAAAAGACGACGACAACGACCACTTGGACCTTTTTCACGAATTTGCAAAATAATGAAAACACACTAGCCACGCCGCTCTAGAACGAATACACTGGCTAAATATAAAAATATTGTCAGCCGTATAAAAGCAATTTGTTGGATTGTGTACACTACAGTTCTAGCACTTCTTCCGTTTTCTTTTACTTTTGCCAAATAAGAAAGAGACGCTTGTATAAGTCTATTGCGCGCGTTTCGCAAAAAATCATTCACACAAAATGAAAATGACAATTGGTTTTTGCTCCTTCTTTTTGACTTTTGAATTTGTCACCGCAATAAGAAATTTTTTATGTATTTCGCTTTACATTCACAAAAAATTCTAGATCATTTTGAAATTTCCCACAATACACTGAAAAAAGTTGCAATTGATTTTGTAAAATGACTTAAAAAACGCCTACTATCCATGTAAAAATACTATCCATAAATTCGCCTTGACATATGTTTTCCATTCCAATTCGCCGTTGAATATTTGACAAGTTGCTTTTAAAGCAGGCAAGTTTAATTCAAATTAAAAAAAAACGTTATTTTTACCTAATTTATTTTTTTATTTTTTTTTTTTTAATTATTTTTATATGGATTTGGTTTTACCACTTAGGTTCTGAAAGCTTTAAAATCTTTTTATTCATATTTTATTTTGTAAAGTCATGCAACAACCACAAAAAGCAACATTGTTTAAGTTTGACAAAATATAGCTGTCTCCTTTTTGCACGTTGTTTTGAAACGGTTGCCTACAAATAACTTTGGAATGTTGACAAATATTTTTTGTTTAATGAAAAATACGTTCATTTTATTAATTTTAAAAACTAATAACATATGTTAATTAAATCTGTATAATTTTGGTATTTTCATATGGATTACATATTTTAAAAGTTAACAATGAAAAATCTCCTTTAATTAAAAATTGCATTTTGCAAAATATAATTTGTCTCATGATAATTCTAATTAGAATAATTTGTTATTAAGCAATGTTGAATTTTAAATTAAAGATCTATTGGCAAAAAGCGTTACCCTATGTCTATGTTTGATAAATTTTCATGCTGAACGTCAAATTGTTATCATGATAAAAAACTATTAATCGCCATCTATTAAAGTTATATCATCGTTATGACAAAGTTGTTAGAATAATAGTTTAGATAACATTGTCTCGACCCCCTGTCTATATGAGATAAATATTTATCACAGCACTTGACAAAACGGCGTCAGAAAAATTTTAAGTTTTTTGTTTATGTTAATGTATAAGAGTAACAAAATGCTGATTTTATCACGACAACTCACAGATAATTTTACGGAATTAAGCTATATTTTATAAAAACAATTAAAATTAAATGCAAATTTTGTAAATATACTCTAATTTCACTAAAACTTATGTTAAAAATCAATTTTAATACCACAAAAACAAAATTCTATACAAATTATACAATACAATACCGAATTAAGTAATTCAACTGTCCATGTAAACTTGGTATAATGTTAGACATTATAAGCGTTAAAACATCGTTAGTACAAAGTTGTCGAAACTATTTTGTCTTGTCATTTTATTGTAAAATTTGCATAGAATTTTGTTTTTGTGCAATTAAAATTGATTTTTAATATAAGTTTTAGTAGTTTAGTTTAGCTTAGAGCTCACTCCGAGTACATCCTTCTCTTTCATCCCTCTATTTTTGCCAGTGGCATGCTGTACACTTGACGCATTGTCCGCCACGGAGGCCAAAGTACCCACCTCCGTAGTAGTATTTTGCTCACGATTGCAGGATGACGATGACACGTGACTCGCGTGTAGATCAACACTTGCCGCCGGTACTGGGTTATTTAGGCCCTGCACCGTAACTTTTATCTTTTTATTTTCCATATTTGTTTTTTCCAGTTTTTTGGTCCGCGGGGAATATAATATTCCCTGGTTGTGGACAATCTGCCCTCCCTCAGCTTAAGTGAAATTAAAGCTGGGAGAGGACAGATGGTCCATCACCACCCCCTCGGTAGGAAAAACGGGAAAACTCCTCCTTCCACCTTAATACTTAAAAAATACGACGCTTCACAAGAAAAATGACAAATACCAAAACAAACAAGAACATCAAAATGGCGATAAAATTTAATAAACTGGAAGACATGAATGAAAGGGTGATTCAAAATAAAAGGTATTGCAATTTTTTATTATAAATTAAATTGTAATACATATCCCATATTTTCTTCTATTTTTTTATATCAAACACTATATGGAGATATATTAGAAAAAATTAAATCTTCCTAATTGTCAAAAATATTAAGTGTAATAATCCATTTACACTACAGCGAAATCTAGTACTTATGAGATTTCGAGCAAATCTAGTTGATTTCAACAGATTTTCCATACAAAACATAATCTACTTAATTAGTAGATTTCGGCAAAATCTACTCAAAATCTAGTAAAAGTAAAAAATGCAACTCTGTTTTTCCTAAATAATACTAAAAAATGCAACGCTGCACAAGAAAAAAGAGAAAAACGAAACAAACAAAGAAAAATCAAATTGTCGACAAAATTTTAATAAATTGGAAAACATGAATGAAAAGTTAATTTAAAATAGAAGGTAATGTAATATTTATAATAATCCTTCATCAAAATTTATTTACTTAAAAAAAAAACAATTTAAAATTATGTGTCACGCTTTTGCAAAAATCTGAAGGATAGGTATTTTTCTTTTTAAAATGGCGGTTCGGTGCTTTTGTAATATTTAAAATCTTATTTTGTAAATTTCAGGATTTAATTAAGTTAATTAATCTTTGATATTTTCTCTATAAGGTTAAGAAAACTGATAATTTTTTCATCACTTTATGTGTACAATTTTTCGTTGGATCAGTTTAATAGTCCACACTAAAATTTAAAACACTGTTTTTTAGAAACCTAACATACATACCTCTTTGACGTAAATGGGACACTGTTGTTCCATTTTTTTGCATTTATTTTAAGTTTGCAGCAACATTAACTTGCTATTTTTGAACAAACTAGGTTCTAATCGAATTTGAATTGGATAGGATAAATATTCTTCAAAACCATAAAATAATAAGTATTCAAAATACATTAAAATAAGCTATGTATATTGCTCATACTTTGGAGTACGCCAGTCTTGTAATAAATGAGCAATATGATGTGCTATTTTTATTAAAATAAACTTTATTTTACTAAAGAAAACGTTGGTGATTTTTATCCCTTTTCAGTTAGAAAATAACGCTTTTTTACCCCTTTTTTCGCGCGCGTATTGCTTGACCATTGTTGGCAACACTGACCGGCCCACCTCAATCCATCTCTCACTCATCGTCAGACTTATAATCTAAATCTTCATCCTCTAAATACTCATAATCTGTATACTTATCAGTGTTGCACTTTGAGTCCAATTCGTAATCATAAACATCCACAGTAGGTTCCACTATACTCTTATAGGGCATCTGAGTCATTTGACAATTTTCCACATCGGTCACTTCATAACGACCGTTGCCAACACATTCCCGGATGACATAAGGCCCTCTGTATCTAGGTATAAATTTCTTATTGGTCCCTACAGTAGTGTCAACATTCCCCCCACGTTCCTAGGAGTTCTGTGACTCCGCTTATAGTACTCCGAACTATATTACTGAGATTTCCGTATCGCCCCATCCTCCGCGGACCGTATTTCACTTAGATCAGCCCCAACTTGTTTGGACCTATCCCGCAGATGATCAGTTATTTCGTCCAACATTTTCCCTCTCTGCTCCACCCCAAATAACATCACTTTAGACTGTGGTGAAGCGACCGACACCTTCACATGGGTGATATTCAGTTCGGATACAAACCTTTCGAATTCACCAATAATACGTCTGCTGTAATTTCCAAAATACTTCAGTAACTATGGTGAATTTTCTACCCTCCAAAAACATTCTGAACCTTCTCAACGCATAGGTAACAGTGAAAGTCGCCAACTCGAAACTATGATACCTAGACTCGACCTTCGAGGTAGATTTCGAATAATATGCAATGGGATGAAATTCCCCATCATCCTGCTTTTGAAGGAACACCGATCCGAATCCTTTCGAACTAGAATCAGTATGCAATTCAGTATCGCGTAACGGGCTATACACCGGCAGTACAGGCGCATTAATAAAACGGTAAGGTTAAAAATACCAATACAACGACCATCTGGAAAACAAATAATATTATATTATATTATTTTAAAATTATATTCACTCACACAGTGGCCTCCGGTAGTTTTGTGGTTAGTGTTCTAGTCTGGTAGACCGGAGGTGGTGGGTTCGATTCCCACCTGAGGCACTTGTTAAGTAGCGTACAACAGGCCCGATAGTTGCCTAGGTGTATTTCTTTGGATTTGATTTTCTATATACATTCTCCTTTCAACCTAACTACTTTCATTTATGTTATTCATTTACTTCATAATTTAGGATAAATGTTTACAAGATTGCTCCTTTATGCTATCTGCAAACACGGAGTCAATTTTTAAGGAAAAAATTTCGAAATTCGCATGAACACACTGTGTTTGGATAAAATTGAATTCCTTATCGACCTACAAGAAATAAACAAACATGACATTAAATGAATAAATATGTTGTTGAGTTTAAAAGAATAGCTTACATGTGACCATTTGTTTATTATGTCAGAAGTACATTTCGCGTGTGACACAACGTGGAGCCGGTCATTTTTTGTTGCACCCAAATAGAATTGAAATTCGTTTGTGTGTATCCAGTGTTTCATTGAAATAAGGCCTCTCTTGGACAACGCCATATTATTTCAGCTTACGCATTATATTCAAATATTTGTTGTACAATTTATCTTGGGGATTCCTTCCAGATTGCTTATATTCCTAAATAATAAAACAAATATCAGTGCTATATGTATGTATATTTATATAAGAATACAACAGAGATTCACAATACTTTCAGATATTTTTGTAGATAAATTGATACAATATGTTTTTTTTCTATTCAATTCATATGGGCGCTTCAGGGCCCATATGTATTTAATTTATATGGGAGGTGGCACGCCCCCTATGCTAGTCCGCCTACTTTTTGTCCTAAATAATCATATTGACACTAAAGTGGCTTTGACAAAATTTGAGGACTCTAGCTGTTTTATTATTTCAAATATCAGGATTTTATATTTTCTTAATATGGGCGTGGCTCCTCGCCCACTTGAAATTTCAAAATAAAAAGTCGCATATTACCTATTCCAGACATACAGAAAAACGCTGTGAAAATTTCAAGAAAATCGGTCTTGCCGTTTAGTAGTCCATAACGTTCAAACATACATATAAACATACAAACAAACACACATTAATTTTTATATATATAGACTAGCTATACCCAGTGTGCTTTGCTACCCTAAAAGGAATATGTATAAATAAATACCAGAT